ACATAGGGTCGCTATGAGTCGCAAGCGACTCGACGGCACATAACAACAACATACTTTTTTTTCTACACTATATATTATCTCATTTAATCCTTAAACAACATCTTTTAGGCTAATTTTCCAGGCATCGGCTACTCCATCTGCTTATCTAATAGAGAAGAGCCATGGTGATAAGGCCGAGTCCGTCTAACACAGCTTAAAGCAAACTTTCTGTGCTTGCTTCTAGCCTGCCACACACTGACCCTCTAGGACAGAGCACGTGGACTTACTTCCAGGGCTGGAGATCTCTACAGTTCCCACAGAGCGAGCGCGGAGCTTGAACCATCAGCGGTCTGGTTAGCAAACAAGCTCTTTAACCACGGCGCCAACACAGCTTAATGCTCTGAAGCTTTGACATCCAAACACCAATAAATTAGGGAGCTCCGGGGGCACGCTGTGCAGAGCTATGCTGGTAACCCAAAGGCTCCAAGACCCCCCAGGGACTCTTGCGAGAGAAGGGTGCACAATTTCCTCCCATGGGATTCACAGCCTCCAGAAGCCCATTGGGGGTCGGCTGTGAACCGCTTCACTTCTGACTTGACGGCCACGGGAGACAACCTTAAACTAGTGGCTTAAACCCGGGGGAAAACCTGAGCCACAGTGGACACCATGGAATCCAGGGACAGTCATCTGGAGCCTTACTTTATCTCAAAAACAAGCACACTGAAATGTACCTAACACAAGGTCATCTAGAGGATGAGTGACATCTGACTCTTCCACTCTCCTCTTGGTCCAGAATCTCAAGCTCTGCGCGGGTTTGCATGTGAGGATGAGCTCAGAGAGGCAGGCATTTCCACTGGAGAAGCAGTGTCTCCACACGCCGCCTCCTGCCTCCCCGTGTCAAAGTGTAAGTGAAGCAACTGGAACCCTCACCTCCAGATAACCTGGGTCAGGTGCGCTTCTCACCGCCTCGTACAGCTCAGCTCCGTCCTGCAGGGCTCGCACCTGCTGCCACGGGAGGGCCTGGGATGGCAGACATCGCTGTGTTGTGTTTTCTAGGAAAAACCCCCAAATGGGCCACTAATTAGCTAACCCACAAAACTGAGAACTCAGACAACAAAAGCAGAGACACCAAGATCAGGGTGAAAACAAGAAACCACTCATCTGGGAAAAGCTTCCCAGGAAAATGTGAAAACTGTGCCCAGTCCAAACCCAGTGCCTCTTTGGCAGTTCAAATCTACCAGCAGCTCTGACGGAGAAAGAGGGACAATCTCATCTCGGGCTATTTCTAACCTCCAAAACGTGCTGCCGGGGCATCCAGAGCCAGTTCCAGCCTGCCAGCCACGAGCCTGAGTGATAGCCTGAAGCAAACAGAGCACAAGGAGCTCAACTTTCCCTGATGATTTATACACGGCATGAAGGAAGTTACATGCTACGGGACATTATGAGACAATGCAGGAACGCAGAAAATCCTCAAGCAACCAAAAGGCAGACTGGAAACATTTTATGTTCTTTCAGCATAAAACCACTTAGTTCTGTTATTAAAACTGGTGCTGTGCACACCTTCCCAAAGAGGTACTGATGTCAAAACATGAAGATCGGAGGAATACACAGTCACTGAACCACAAAGAACTGGCAGACATGGAACCACCTCAGGAAGCAACATATGGTGAAGAATCAAAGGTGATGAAGGAAGAAGAAGTTTGAGCGGCATTGAAGGCCTTGGCAAAAAATAAGGCCCCGGAATCGATGAGTTCTCAAGTAACATATTCAACCAACAGACACAACCCTGGATGTGCCCACCAGGCTACGCCAAGAAATCTTGAAGACAGCTACCTGGCCAAGTGACTGAAAGAGATCCATACTTGCTCCCATTCCCAAAAACAGTGATCCAACACAATACGGAAATTATCAGACAGTATCTTAATACCACATGGAAGCAAAATCTTCCTGAAGATTATTAAAAAGACACTACAAAAGTACACCAACAACAGAGAAGTACTTCAACAAGCGAGAAGTGCTGGAAAGTCAAGCTGTTGTGAAGCTCCGCCTCCCTTACTTTGGGCACGAGGCCAGGAGACATTGGTCACTGGAGAAGGACATCATGCTCGGAAGGGTGGACGGACAGCACAGGAGAGGAAGATCCCGGATGAGATGGCTACAGTAACTGGGGCAATGGGGGCTAGTGTGTCGGAATTAGTGAGACTAGCTGAGGACAGGGAAGGGTTTAGAACTGCTGCACATAAGAGTTGCTATGCATTGCAGGCAACTCAATGGTACATAAAAACAGTAACGTACTATGACAGGTTTGGAAGCAGGAGTGGCATCTACTTCCTAAACAACATGCCTCAGGAAACTCTATGAACTTTGATAAATGTCGATAGTTGCAGAGGGGCTTCAGGCCTTGTGTTCATAGGGTCGTTGTGCTTGACTCGAAGGCAATCAACAACATGGCACCAGAGATAGCATTGCTGATGTCAGAGGATTTTGGGTGATGGTGGAGAATACCAGAAGGATGTCTATCTGTATTTTATGGACTATGACAAGGCATTTGACTGCATGGGTCATAACAAACCATGGCTAACATTGAGAAAATGGGCCTCTCAGAACACTTGTGCTCATGTGAAACCTATACCCAGACCAAAAAGCTGTTGTGCAAACAGAGCCAGGGAACAACTGCATGGATTAAAACCAAGAAAAGTCTGGCAGAGCTGTGCCCTTTCTCTCTGCCTATCCGTTCTGTGCGCTGAGCAGATCATTCAACAAGCTGGACTCTGTAAAGAAGAATGTGGCTTCAGATCAGAGGAGACTCAGCAATAAATCCTGTTATGCAAACCTTGCTTGCTCAAAGTAGGAGGACTTCAAACACTGCAGATCAAAGACTACAGCTTTCCATATGGGTTACATCTGAACATCAAGCAAATGAAAATCCTCACCACTGGGCCAAGGAGCACCACTATCATCAGACAGAGAAAAGATTGAAATTGTTAATATTCCATCTTACCTAGATTCACAATCAACACCGTGGGTACTAGGAGTCAGGAAATCAATGGACGTGATGCACTGGGAGAATGTTCTGTGAAGATCGCCAAAGTGTCAGAGCAATGATGTCCATTTAAAGACCAAGGTGCACCTGACCTTTGAGTTGTTTTGCGGAAAGTACTGAAGCCTGAAGATGGCTTCTTTAGCCATGTTGGCCCCCTCTGGTCTCCAGCTACCTTGACTTCAGACTCATGGTCTAACATCAATCGCTGTGGGATTGGATGATAGAGATGGGAGGGGGAGAGTGGGAGAGAGGGAGAGGGAAAGAATGCACTTCCCACACTGGATGGCAAGATTTGAGACAGGAGCAAGACACTGGTGAGAGCAAGACCCTGGTAATGGTGGTGGAGAGACTGTGGCATTGCTGTGCAGAAAACTGTGGCAAGGTAGCCAGAGGAGCCTTGAGATAAAGGCCAGAGTTAAAGATTTTGCTGTTCTTGCCAAATACTTGAAGGAGAAGCTGAGTTCGATTTATAACTGCTCTGAGGCAAACTCTGCAGGATGACTGAGAAAACCAGAGTCTTCTTGAATTAGTGTTGTGGAACTGAATCCGGAGCCTGGACAAGCTGAGGAATTGAGCCTTTGGACTTCTGGGCTAAATGCTGGATTGACACTGGGTGATATTGTTTGCCTCCCCCACCCTCCAAGTTATTTTGCCTAAACTCCATTCTCGGTACCACAACTCTGAGTCAAGTCTGTGGATCAACAGTGAATATTGAACCTCCTGACTGGTGAAAACGGGGAAAGGAGCATGGGGAGTGGCGTGTTTTACACAGCAGCTGTTTGCGGCTATGAGTATTACTGATTATGAAGTGGGCTGGCGTCACTCACCGCCCTCAGCGCCCTGGCTCTTCGGACGTATCTGTGGACTGCCCAAGGAATACACAGAGTGTCTTGCAGAAAGCACTGCCTGAGTGCTCCCTGGAGGCAAGGATGGCAAAACCTGGTCTTACATCTGCACAAAAAGGACGTTATCCTTGCAAAGGTGAAGGGTCAGAGAAAGAGGACGATGCTCCAAGAGACGGACAGTCACAGAGATGGCAGCACTGGGCTCCAGGAGACCAGAGATGGACAGGAGGGTCAAGACAGAGCACTCAGATCTGTTAGCGTAAGGGCGCTAGGAGTGTGCTCAGCTCAACAATCACAACAACAACACGGCTGTAAAATACAAAGTGTCTTTTAAAAACTAAAAGCAACAGAGAAAACAAGTTCTAGCCCCATAATTTTAACAAAAAAACGTTACCTGGAGGATCAGCTGAATTTGTATTTGATGGTACAGAACAACAACAATATCCAAACAGGCAGAACACTACAAACATGTTAGTGCTGACGCTTAAGAGGGAGTTTAAGGACGAGCTGTGTTTATCTAAGAGCAGACCCTGGAGGGCTGTGGGCTCGATCTGTGATGTCATCACAATCAATGGACAGCCCACCAAAGCCAGCCAGCCACAGTCTCAGCTCCTCAGTGCATGGAGGTGCTATACCCATGTCATAATACACACACTGTACATCTCGTAGATGCCACAGCGTGATGAAAAGCCTGGAAATAGGTGAGAATTTAAAAAAATGGGACAGAGACACAGAGTGAGCACACACTATTGGAAATAATGGTGACAACAGACAGGCTGATGCAAAAATACCACAACCTTCAATTTGTAAAGAAGCCCAACAATGCAAAGTGCGGTGAGAACAGGTGTGCTCCACCTGAACCTCGCCCGCTGGCTACAGTGTGCTGATGGGGGTAAACAGACTTGCTATGAAGTGCTGACGGTTCACGCTTGCTAAGGATGTGCTAATGGGGTCAGGCCAGTGCCTCTCTGTTCAGCTAGTAACATGATTCTTAAAGCAAATGGGGGGAAAAAAATTGGATTTAGAATTAGGAAAAAATTACTTGTGACTCCACTTGAAGATGACTCAATTGGACGATATAAAGGGGTGCTCCTAAGGTCGCCATGGACCCTCGCTTTACCTTCCTGCCCCTCCAGCTCCTCCTGGACCCTGGAGAGGAGGGCCTCCAGCCTCCGTTGTTGAGCCTCTGCGTACTTTGCAGCCTCTTTTTCTTCTTCTCTTTCATCTCGGAATATGTACACCCCAGATGATGTCTTCTCCATCCACTGGAAAAGTGATATAAGCAAAAATTCATAATAGGAAAGAGCTTTCAGCTATATGAGAGACAGCTAGAAGTATCAAGAGAAGATGGAAGGAGTACACAGAGTCACTGTATCAGAAGGAGTTGGCTGACACAGAGGAATTTCATGAAATGACATATGAGCAAGAGCCTGTGGTGATGAAGGAGGAAGTTCAAGTTGCTCTGAAGGAAGAGGCAAAAAAACAAGGCTCCGGGAGTTGCCGGAATATCAATTGACATATTTCAACAAACAGACGCTGCCCTGGATGTGGTCACTAAGTTGTGCCAGGAAATCGGGAGGACAGCCAGCTGGCCCACTGACTGGAAAAGATCGATACTTGTTCCCATTCCAAAGAAAGGTGACCCAACAGGAGTGAGGAAATTATCGAACAATATCATCACTATCACATGCAAGCAAGATTCTGCTGAAAATTATCAAAAAACATTTGGAACAATAAGTCAACAGAGAACTGCCAGATGTGCAGGCTGGACTTCAAAGAGGTCATGGTACTAGGCATATTATAGCTAATGTTAGATGGATCTTGGTAGAAAGCAGAGAATACCAGAAGAATGTCTATCTGTGCTTCATTGGCTCTGCAAAGGCATTTGACTGTGTGGATCATAACAAACTGTGGCTGACTCTGAGAAGAATGGGAATCCCAGAACATTTGATCGTGCTAATGATAAACCTATACTTGGACCAAGAGGCAGTCGTCAGAACAGAGCAAGGAGACACTACATGGTTCAAAATCAAGAAGGGGGTCCGTCAGGGATGTATTCTGTCTCCATACCTTTTCAATCTGTATGCAGAACAGATCATCTGAGATGCTGGGCTGTACGAGGAGGAATGTGGCTTCAGGATTGGTGGAAGAGTCATCAACAACCTGCGTTATGCAGATGACACAACCCTGCTTGCTGAAACTGAGGAGGACCTGAAGTGCTTGCTGCAGAAGGTCAAGGACTGCAGCCTTCTATATGGATTGAAGCTCAACATCAAGAAGACAAAGATTCTCACCACTGGGCCAATTGGCAGTATCAGTATGGATGGTGAAGAGATTGAGATAGTTAACAGTTTTAGTTTACTTGGCTCCACAATCAACACTCTTCGTAACAGCAGCCAGGAAATCAAGAGATGAATTGCACTGGGAAAGTCAGCTGTGAGGGACCTCTCAAGAGTTCTGAAGAGCAACGACGTCAGGCTGGAGACTAAGGTGCGCCTGATCTGGGCTACAGTCTTTGCAATTACGTGCTATGCGTTGGAGAGTTGGACAGTGAATAAGGATGATAGAAAGAGAATTGATGCCTTTGAGTTGTGGTGATGGAGAAGGGTGTTGAATATACCATGGACTGCTAGAAGAACAAATAGGTTTGTCCTCGAGAAGGTGAAGCTGGAATGCTCCTTGGAGTCAAGGATTCTGACGCTTCATCTGACATACTTTGGGCATGTTGCAAGGAGACTGGTCCTTGGAGAAGGACATCATGTTTGGGAGAGTGAAGGGGCAGCGAAGGAGAGGAAGACCCTCGATGAGATGGATCGATTCTGTGAGTGGAGCGGTGGGAAGGAGTATGTTTGAGATGGTTAGGTTGGCACAGGATACAACGGCAGGGTCACTATGAGTCACAAGCGACTGGATGGCACATAACAACAACAACAAGCAATAAGATAGTGGCTCACCACTTGGAACAATCAACAACACAAGACCAAAAGAGCACCATTTCCCTAGGGATAAAGTTCAAAAAATAGGAAGGCAGGATGAATGGACCTGGAAACACAGGAGTGCTGGGATAGTGTGGGAACTGTCATCACTGCATAAACTGCTGGGCAGAAAACCAATCTTCTCGGTAAATGACAGTTAATGGAGAAGCAGTCAGAAGAGCTGGAAGAAATGCACGTGAGCTTCAGGGTCTCATACCTGGACTGGGTAGACTCTCTGAACCACCACATCCACGCAGCCAACAATGCCCCCATCACTGAACAGAGACGGCAGGGGCAGAGGGAAGGGCCGAGGGTCGGAATGGAAGCCAAGTTTGGCATACCAACGTGCAGGCCGGGTACTGTTCGCAGAAATCTGGGCCAATGAAAATAAAGCAACTTAGGAATTAACAGATGTCCACACTGCTGTAAAGCAAATAAAACTAAGAGGTACTATTACCTGATATGCTACCTGGCACAAGACAAAGCCTGTTTCAGCTTGATTAAATACTTCAGTTAAGAGCAACCCCACAGAGATTTTCCAAACAACCTTCAAACCAGCAAGCCGACGGCAGCAGTGTCCATTCTGACTGAGACCATCCAGCAGAATTCCAGGGAAGAAAAACTTAACCGCAATCTCTACCTTACAAAGGTTTCATTTCTATGATGCGGGTTTTGAATGGCACCAGGGGAGCTCTGGTGGTGTGTCCTGAGGGGGCCTCCTCTACGTCCCTGGTGGTGTGAATCCACCAGCAGCTCTGAGGGATACAGAGGGGCTGAATTCTCTTGTATGACCAACGACCTTTGAAAACCTGCTGGAGGATCAGCTATGGGTCAGAACCAACTCTCTCAATGTCAGAGAGGTGGTTTTTTTCCCCTTTCTTTTAGAGTGACAATAAAAATGCTTCATTTTTAAGATGCTTTTTTGAATTAGGTTGATCCAGAATACGAGAGAGGTAAAGTTTCTACAAAATAATGAAGCACTGAAGCCGACTACCCAATACAGTGAGCCGTTTCTGACAGCAAAACTTCAGAACACTGCTTAGGGTGAGGTACAGTAGAGCGAGAGGGAAGGTGTCCTTCTCTAGGACACACTCGGGAGGAACTCGAGTCTCATGCTTCTGTTGCACTGGAACAGGCGTCCAGGTGCTGGGATGGAGTGTCTACCGCCCCTTCTACCTGCTTTTCAAGTGCTGCTGCTACCTTAAGAGTCTCTGACACTCGCACGCAGCACACACACTTAGAACTGAACGAGTTTACTTCTCATCCCAACACTGAAAACACACCTCCCCCAAACTTCTCAAACCCCAAATCCCTCTGCCACGGAGTTGATTCTGCCTCAGTGACGCCAGAGGTGGAGAGCTGCCCCAGGCTCCTAGGCCACTGTCTTTACAGAGGCAAATGCAGAGGCTCACTTTTGCGCCCCCCTCCCCCGGCTGGTGGTCTTGAACTTCCCATCTGGTTAGCAGGGCAAGTTCAAGGAAGCATGTGGAAGTGACTTTAAACTAGGACATCAAACCCTCTGGAACCAAGCCAAATGGGCGCTGGCATTGCGGGAGTGCAGGTCATTCCTGTTTACCTTTAACCTGAGGGACTCAGGGGCCTCAAGGGGTGCACAGGCCTCCTGGGTGCCCACCAGCTCTGCACCATGGGTGACTATCTTCTGGCCCACGGCCAGCCGGCCGATCTTCAGGAGTGCAGCGAGGGGCGGGTCCAGCTGGGCTCTAACCATGTACCAGCCGTCGGTGAGCCCCAGCAGGGCCCCGGGGCTGGGGTCCACACCGCTGGCTTCACTGCTGGCTGTCTCGGAGCCGCCTGCACCCAAGGGGAGGATGTCCGAGACACAGAGGACCAGTGTTTTTGCTGTGGTGTCGTCCCTCTCCAGGATCCTTCTTATGGCGGACCTTCTACTCCTGTCAATTTCTACATCATACCTGAGGGCCAGACAGGAAACACCCCCTTCAGAGCTGAGGATCGAGAACTCGCTGTCAAAGGTCAGGGCACTTGAGTAGTTGAGGGGACACATCAAAAAGGAGGAAGACCTAAAATGTGATGTCTAGAAATACATGGTTTTGTCTTTTTAAAGTACAAATTCAATAATAAAAATAAATTTTTAAAAGAATGTAAAAATGTTTTCCTGGCTTCTCTGAGCAGAGGATCAAGTCAGTGGCTGGTACTGTTTTGGATGCTAGCGATGGGATGGGGACCAGGGAGGAAGCCCAGATCTGTGAACAGGAGCTCTCTAGATGAGGCCAGAGGGGTGAAAGGATTCCTGAGGGTACAGTGGGTTAGGCGCTGGGCTGCTAACGGCAAGGCTGGTGGTTCAAATCCACCAGCAGCTCCTTGACAGAAAGATGAGGCAGTCCGAGGGCCAAGATCAGAGCCTTGGAAACTCTGAACGGGGGCTCCAGTCGGCCCTCCAGGACTGCTAAGAGGATGGCAATGGGCGGGCGTGGAGGTGGTGCCAAGCGCCCAGCCCCCACAGCATGCAGAGCATCTGCTGTCTGGCGTGAGCAGCAGCCGGAAGGACGCGGCAGTGGGTGGTCACGTGAGTGACGCTCTCTACTTGCCTATATTTCAGCTGGAGAAGGACCCCTTCTGGGCTGAGACACCTGCTGGCAAATTCCTGCGGGAATGAGACCTCCATGGCCGCCAGCTTCCACACAATCCATCGGTAGTGGTTGTACACCCAGTCTCGAGAGATGAGCTTCGGGTCCACTCCGGGGGTGTCACACAGGGCCCTGCACAGGGAGGGGTGGAGCAGTACCGCACGTCACGGAAGCGAGTGCTAATGAGGAGTGCGCCTCAGGACACTACAACGTTGAAAGAGCAGGCACAGGGGACTTTGTTCAAGCAATTCTAAGATGACAAAACCATTTTTTAAAACCACAAAATGTCATATTATGATCTGAAAGTTTGCAGAATAAATAGGTTTTCCAGATGACAACTCTTAAACCTCTTATTTAATGACAGGGGTCGCATCCCCACATCACCCTCTTCTCACTCCCACCCTGTGATTTTCATCTCCATGAATCCTGTCCCTTCCTGCTCCCGAGTTTTATCCCTGGGTGAATGTTCCACTATGATCCGTGGCTCGGTAAAATAATTTTAGAGTGACAGTATCAATTAAAACGGCACTTTAGTAACATATTTGCCAATACAACTATCCAACTCATGTATAGATTAGATTCTGGAAAATGATTCTTAGTGGAAGAGTGACAGACTTTTTCACTGGCTGAAGAGGGATGCCTCTGAGTCCTGGTGCTCTCATCACATGGACTCCTCTCCCTCTGTCCCCACGGTCAGCAAGAAGAACACAGAGGCATCAATGAACCCTGATCGCCGCGGAGGCCTCAGGATATGCCGAGGGACAGCGGGGCAGCCAGTGGTCCCAGTGCCTGCTTTGGGAGCAGTCTGGAGTAGAAACAATCCATGCAAGGACCACTGGATCCCAAGGACTTCCAGCCCTACGGCCTTACTCCAGGGATGCCGGGCTGCCCCTTCTCACGGGCATCACAACAGGTGCCCTGGATAGAGTGGGAGAACAGGGTGAGGGGAGCACAGTCTGGGGGACTGGGGGACCCTCAAGACTATGGCTCCACATCTCTCTGTGAGCCTAGAACTACCCCGTGACTCAACTTTCAGCCACACAATAGACAGGTTTGTTACATGGACAGTAACGGCAGGACAGCACCTACTTCTGAGAAGAAGCAATCATTCAACACCAGAAGGACGTCTATGCCCAAGGACAGAGTGCTGACGGCAGGCATGGATGAAGGGAAATGAGCATCACAGAGAGGGAGTGGGAATCTGCTCCCCACCACCAGCACCCGCAGCCCGACACTCTGCACTCTCTTTCAACAGCCTGGCCGCACATCTGTGCACCAGTTCCCTTCTCTTGTCCAGCGAGGACCTTGATCTACCCCTGTGTTCTCTGTCCTACAAATTCCTGTTCATCAATGTGTAAGGCCTGCTCCCAGCTGGAGGCTGCACAGACGCACTCTGCTCACTGCCGTGCAGCCTGCAGGCCACTTCCTCTAGGAAATGACGCACCTCCCTGACCCAGCTCTCCTCACTCCACACCCCACCCCCGTATCTGTCTTCAGTGGCCTTCTTCAGGGGCATCTTCGCGTGGACTTGAACTCTCAAACTCTGGAATAGCTGCTGAGCTCTCTTAAGAGTTTGCACTTTCCAGAGATCCTTCCCAATGTCCCTCCTGCCCTGACCCAAACTATGACGTCTGGTTGATTAGGGCAGGGACCTTTATTCACTGTGCCTACAACAGTTTTTGGGTGATACAAGTGATACCACTGTTGGCTGTTAAGAGGAAGGAGTGGCAGTTCAAAGCACTGACAGGACAGGCTCCTGGAGGGAAGGTGTTGGCACTGCATCTCTGACGAGACACTCGGGAGCCCACTAGGGCACCATCTGGGGACCCTCTCGGCCTACAGCAGAGCCCCACACCAGGTTAGACCACAGCCTAGGTGCTACCTAGCTCAGATGGCATGCCAGTCTTTCTAAGGTAAGTCTCCATGGCCCACTCTGCGGAGTAGGGATTGGGTCTACAAAAAACCATTTAAGACACAAGTCCTGGTCTCTTCCTGTGGAGGGCAACGGAGGAAGACAACTGAAGACAGGACACACGTGGTCCAAGGGACTAATGGGTCACATGAACCGCAGCCGTCAAGCCTGAGACCAGAAGAACTGGACGGCGTTCAGAGCAGAAGGCCCCAGACAGAGACACATGCAGAGTAAACGAAGGTCCACAACAAAGGCCAGGCGTCCTTGTCTGATACAGACTAGCGGGGCCTATAAAACCGCTCTGCTTGACACTCATCAACCCGAACTGAGCCCACGTCCAGAGGCCACCTCACAGTGAAAAACAGATGGGCCTATGATCTGAGGCCAAACACGACTCTGGTCAGAGCTGCAGCATGGCTGTCGGGTAAGAACCCACCTGAGGTAGCAAATTAATAGGGAGGGAGCCCGCCTGGTGGCCTCGTGGTAGAGAGCTGCACTGGTAAACTAAAGGTGGTACATCTCCAATGGTTCAAACCCACCAGCCGCTGCTGCTCAGGAGAAAGGCGGGCAATCTCCTGTGTGATTCAGCCTCAGAAACCCAGCGGGTCAGCTAGACGTTGGTCCCAACTCAACAGCGAAGTGCTGCGTTGGCAGAGGGAACAGTAACACGTGTGAGGATGTGCTTCTCAGAACATTCAACACTAAAAGGCGGGAAAGTCGAGCGAATGAGAACAGGGAACCCCAGTAGAAGTGGGGGTGCTGACATATCCAGGGGACTGTGGAAACGAATAGCTCTGTAGACTTTCATGTAAACCACAACAAAATGTTCAAAACCAAATGCAGGGGTAGAGGGAAAAGGGAAAAAAAATAAATAAAAATAAAAACCCAAAAGCAAGTGTTAGAAAACCAAAAACACCTCCCAGAGCTGGTTTTCCTTGGGAACAGGAGGCGAGAGCTGACTTTTTTCTGAACAGGGAGGATGACAGCCAGGAAGCCCTAGCGTCAGGTGGCTCCACCCTACAGGGTCACTACAGGTTGGAAGTGAGGTGACAGCAAAGGGTTATGCCGCATTACGTGGGCACACAAAGGAGAATATGATGACATGAGCTGGGGAGGGAAATCTACCATCAGGCCAAGTCAAATGGAACTATTCTTATCAGCCTTTGTTTCATAATGTAGAAAAAAAATGTCCCAAGATAAAACATAGCAAATCCTGGCCAAGTTACAACCCACTTTATACTACAGCACTCCTGAACTCCAAGGCACCTAAAATGATTCTGTGTACATAAATGTCACGTCCAGTCAATTTTTCCATTTGAAAGAGAAAAGACGAATGATAAGGATGGTGGAACAGGTGGAAGCTCATGCCAAGAGTACCTGTAAAACTCTTCCTTTCCAGCCTTCCCAAGATTGGAGGGTATGAGCTGTCCACCATCAGCCAACTGTACACCCTGCCCAGTCCACAAGCTTTCCTTTCCAAAGTAATCCTCAACGTGGAACTGGAAAGACTCTGCACTCCTGCTGGTAATGTTCATGCAATGTTTGGGAACGCCATACATGTATAACTGAAAAATGAAGAACAGAGATGACTGAGGAAAATGAAATAAAAATCAAACAAAAACACATTTCATCAACATTCAATCAGAACAAAGTCAACTGAAGTTTACTGTTTGACTATGAAAATGTGCACCACAAAAAAGAACTGTTCTTTGAAGCAGAAGACCTCTGATGACCCCCACTTCTGAGTCTGTGCAATCCTTCCCTGCCCAGTCAGGCAAGTCCTGCTGCACCGGACACAGCAGGTTACTGTGGGAAACAGAAATCCGAGGGAAAATCAGCACTGCGGGAACCTTCTGAGCCAGAAGTTCAGAAGGAAAAGAGGCGTGAAATGCCAGGGTAACTTAGGGAGATGGCCCTGGGCGGACTCCCACTCAGTGACCTCTGAAGGGAGTGTGGTTAAGCTCTGGCTGCGTGGTTGGTAGTCTGAAGCCAAAAGCCCTGGTGATGTGCTTCCACAGACAGCAGGGTCCTGGAAACGCCACAGTGCAGCTCTGCTCTGTCATGTGGGCTGTGAGCTGCGATGGACTCGACACCGACACCCCGCAATGGCAGGGAGCACAAATGGCCACCACCCAAAACATCAGGGGGAACCAGACCAAGGGCCAAGTGATGGGCTTCCACAGATGACCCCACTTAGGAGACCCTGATGGACAGCTCTTCTGTCAGTGGGGCCAGTGGGAGTGAGAATCAACTCAACAGGGAGCTGCATTCACCCCACGGTCTAACCCACGCTAGGCGCCTCTGCTCAGGGGTGAGGTGAGCGTAAAGACACACTGCCGGCTTTGGAGCCTGGCCCTGTGCCGCCCGCCCGTCACTGAGATGCTGACCCTCTACAAATTCACACCACTCTCCTTGGACCCCTAGCAGGGAGCGTGCCCGGTACAAAACGAGGAAGAGAGCTGTGGGAAGAGGTGGATTAACACGTTGCCGCAAATGACCGTAATACAGCCAAGAAAAAAAAGTGTTTCTAAGCACTGTGGTCAATTTAAGTGCGCGGCAACGTGTTAACAACAAGATCCCGAGCCCACTGGCACAGAGGGGATTCCCCTGCACGGTGAGCCCACAGGACTGAGGAGACCTGCCCTCCAGGGTTTGCAAGGTCACAGACCTTTACCAAAGACTCATCACCTCTCTTCAGCAGAGCCACTCTGAGGCCTGCACAGCAGATCTGTCGGCCAGCAGCAGAGCTTAAACCACAGTGTCACCAGGACGCCTTAAAAAATCTCTTACTCAAGGCTCAGCGCCTTGTCATCCTGTCAGTGACAGGACGCTGACGGACAGAGCAGACCCGCCCCACAGGGTCTCCAGGGTGTATCCTCACGGAAGCCCATAGCTTCCTCCTAGGACGCCGGCTACTGGGCTCCACCGGCCAACTGCCCGGTCAGCAACTGAACACCTAACCACTGTGCCACCAGCACGCCCTCTCAGGCTGATTAACCCACCACCACAACAGGGGTCCCCTGAGTCACAACTACCCCCAGTGGCCCTGACAGGAGATACTGCCCATTCTTCCTCTGAGCAGTCGGTGGATTTGAACCACCAACTTTCTGATTTCAACATGTCCTATACATGACACACTGCGACCCTGGGGCTGCTCTAGGCTAATCAGGAGAATTCATTCATCACGTGTTCACTCTCTGGATATGACAAGGTGGAGACTCAAGTTGGTAACATCTAATTCCAGTTTGCCACGAACACCGCCCCAGCCCTACAGACCTGCTGAGGAGTACACGCAGAGGGCCGCTGGCTGCTGACCGCTGCCTGCAGGGAGGTCCGGGGCATCGAGGAAGTCTTGGCCAGATAGAGAGCACCTGGCTGTGGGCACACACGCTGCTGCCGCTTGGCCTTAATCCGTGCGTCCTGTAGATCTCGGGCACGCTGAAGATTTGCAATTAAATCTATCAGAGAATAAATTATTGACAAGCAATTGCACAGGCTGTAAAGAATTGAAAAGCACAACTTATCCCTGTTTCCGATGCTATGTATCAATTTTAATTTTACATGCAGAGAAAAAGGTATTCTTCTACCCTTTTTAAATATTCCAGACAAAAAAGCCCTTGTCCATTTGAAGGGCTAAAAGGAGATCAATGATTTTCACATTAAACTTAGAAGAGAATGAGGAATCTGTCAAGAACCACAATCCAGTTCAGCAGTCCTCCATGTTCAAGTTCCTCTCAATAAGAAAGGCCGAAGGAAGGTATTTTTTTAAATTTTTTTATTTTTGTGTGAGTGTACCGTCAAATCAGATCTGACTGGTACAGGAGGAGATTGTCCCTCCTTCGCCGGCAGAGCATCTGGTGGATTCGAACTGTGCGCCTCTGGGATTGTAGTTGCAGCTCCTTGCCACTAGGCCACAGGAAGGTATTTTTTAAAAATAAAATAGAACAGATCTATTCTTTAGAGTAAGAAAAATCTGAAGAGCATCAAAAAGGTTTTGAAATTGTTAACTATCATTAAAGATGGAAAAGCCTTGGGACATTTAGTGGGAGGAGTATCTAAGCTACAGCAAAGCTGCATCGCACCAGCTCCAGAGCCTTACTTACCTAAAGGGCCCTCTTTACCCCCGGCCCCAGGCAGAGCGGCAGCCTGACTTGAGTCACTGTTGTGAAGCCAATGAATTCCCCCTCCATCAATGCAACGTTCACCAGTGCCAAAACCCAGCTCCTCTCTGCTTTCTGATGGCTCTTTGTTTTCTTCGAAAGGGATGTCCTTGGAAGCAGATTGGCCATGGTTTTGAATAGGTGGTTTTGCTTTAAAAGGTGGAACAAAGACTTTGGTAGGTTTGCCTGCTGTCTGCGAGGGCTTTTCTGATGTGGGTAAACTGCCTGCAGGCTTTTCCAAAGCCAGGTGTTCAAACACAGGAGACTTAGGGAGAAATTCCCAACCAGGTGCAGTGAAATTGGGAATCTGGATTTCTTGCCGCTCTTCAGTTGTGCTGAAATGGGGAGAGAAATATTCAAGCTTGGCTGTTGATCAGTAAATCTAACTATTCCCTCCTCTTGTTGGTAACCAGAGGGTCAGTGAAATATGAGAAGACAGTTAAGGAGGTGGAGTAACACAGTGGCTGCAGCAATGGGCTCAAACACAGCAGAGACCTAGAGATGGCACAGGACCAAGGAGTGTCTCATTCTGTTCGGCTTGGGGTCAGAAGGATGGTATTCTCCAGCACATGTGCACACATACATGCAGGGACATGCACTTTCTACTGATTCTCCAATGCCCGAGGAGACCCTCTCTGGGAACCACTGTGCACTTGGGGGGCTGTCTTTCAAGGCTGTAAGTATTTTCACATCCACCCTCCCACCCTCATGCTCCCAGCTGTGACCATTGCATCTTCCTGCATGGAAGGCGATCATTCCTCAGATGTAGACTTGCGTGCAGTTCCTCCATTTCTATACTAGACTTAGCTCCTTGACTGAAAAAAATCATCCTTTCTTTTCTAAACCACCACCTTGCCCCGTACTCATGTAACTGTTCAGTCTCCTCTAGAACTTCACCACTTCACTTATTAACCTCCTAATATGAGATTAACCAACATGCTTCTCCTCCCCGAAGGTTTACAGCCTTGGAAACATGGGGGGTCACCATGAACAGGATGACAACAGCAGTGCGTTACATTATAGGAACCTTTAAAAATGAAAGTTATCTTACCAAAATGGTGCACAGGTGACTGGCTTTAAGGAAATACGATGCGTAAATAATCTTCTGTCTTTTATTGTGCCTAGAAAAAGAATTACTTTACATCATATATTATTGAAAATCTGAGATTTTATTTTTTATGTCAGTTTATATACATAAATATCTACATAAGAGATTTTGAGGCAGTAATAGACTTTCCAGTGTTAACTAATGGATGTACAGTTAAATAACAGAGCTTTGTCACAAACTTGTTGGTGGGTGTGTAAAATGGTGTAACCACTATGGAAAACTGTATGGCTCTTTCTCAAAAAGTTGCAAAGAGAAATACCATTTGACCCAGCAATTCCTCTACAGGGAATATACCCTGAAGAGACCATAACTGTCACCCAGGCAGATATATGCACACCCATGTTTA